TAGCTTCTAACATATATTGAAAATATTTCTCCAAGATTCTCGAAAACTCGAAGATTTCAAAATTCTCAAGATGGGAAATATATATCCCACTGGGCCTCAAAGGGTTAAATATCAATAATTTAAAATTGAATTTTACAATAAAATTGTCAGCTAAAAAAAGTAAAAGTTGATTCTGTATTCGAACCGATTCAACAAACCATACTCAAAAATAAGACTGTTTGGATCTATTCAGATTATAGAGCATATTGAGTTATATATGAGAAAATAATTCTTTCTGTATGAATTAAAATGGCTCTATTTTCTAAGCGATTCAATATGTTCTATAATCCGAAAACATCAAAAACGATTTTTAACGAAAAAAACTTAAGGAAAGTTCTTATGATGATATTTAAAACCAGCATGGTTGATAACCCACAAACCAATAGTCTTTGGTCAGACAGTGATTAATCAATTGAAAATGTTCTATTCTTAGACTAAAAAGTTTCGGGTCAAAAAAGAATATTTCGAAAATTCTAATTGTGAATGCAAAAGAAAACTCTTGGCTAGACAAAAAAATATCTTATATATGAAAATAGAATAAAAACGAAAGGTGCTTTTGTAAAAAAAAAAAAAAAAAAGACAACTATTTGATACATCATATCGATTTCTGTAATCGTTCGTTTACTTGCTCCATACACGATCTCAGTTTAGTTTCGTATTTCTTTATAAATAATCTTACTACTCTGTGTAAAATCACAGAAGTATACGATCTTGTTCAAGCACTCTATATTCTTCTTCGTGGACTTATAGTCACACTCAAAATAATATTTTTAAGACATCTAATGTAACACATAAAACTATGTATAAAATATTACGAAAATCAAAATGATGACAATCCCTTATTTTTATTGGTTTAGCTATATAAAAGATAAATGCCTTGTCAAAAGATAGAATCAGCCTTGAAATGTCTCGGCGAGTCTCACATCTCTGACACCTATCAAAATCCTTATCGAAAATAAGAATTACGTTCAAATTTATTTTCACAAAAAGAAACTACACATCTTTTTATAGGAAAAATACATACCAATACAGTTAATATATTATTTCCATTTCTTGTTACTTAAACTATTTGGTCATATTTAAAAGATGTTGACGTATTTTTATTTTACATTCGAGTATATGTGGATATAATAGACAATGAAGTGTACGTATACGACAGTGATCTAAATGAGATTCATAAAGATTTGGAAGAAACTTTGGATAATAATAAGAACAATAAAAACCAAATGTTATTTGTTCAGTAAATATTTCAAGAAATTTTTTTTTATCATTATAAAAATCTTTTTCTAAATGAGAATGAAAACGAAAATTTTTTGTTAATGTTACATTAAGATAAGCAGATATAAGAAAACCTAAATATATATCATCATGATAATTTTCTTTTAAACATCCATTAACAAATTGTGAAATATTTCTAGTATAAGGTTGAAGAAGATAAACTAATGATTTTGATAAACATACACCAGCACCTAATGTTGCAAACCAAAATGGATATGGATATGGTTGTTTTAATCTATTTATAGGATTAGACCATGAATTACGTCCAATATAATATGGATGATTAAAATCTAATGTAGATAAATATTTTTCTAAATTTTCTATATTAACATATTGATCATCATCAAAATGACAAAACCAATCATATTTTTTTAAATTACGCTGAAAAAATATAAAATCATGTGCTGTTTTACAACATAATGTATTCATTGTATGTTTTTCATAACCACATATATCTTCTGTTAGAATAATATGATTATAAGATATATTTGGTAGAATTTTATCTGTAATAAAATAAGTATGTTCATTAACTAATAATATCCATGTTTGAAGAAGATATTTTAAACGTTTTTCATAAAATTTTGAATTTGTTCGAATTACATACATTATTCGACTTGAAGAAAATGATTGAATTTCAACTGGAGTTTGTTTTAAAGATGTTAACAAATGATAATAGAATAGTATAGAAAATAAAAAAAAATACATAATTAAATAAGTACTAAATAAATATATTCGTCGACGAATATAACGACGATAAACACTACAAGGATAACATGAATATAATTTTTGTCCTAGAATAAATATATTATTTTTATCAAAATAAATCGTGTGTCTTAGATTTTCAATTTATGAAAATTTTATCTATAGAAAGTAAAAACTATAAATATATTTTGATATACCGTAGACGACAAAAGTCTCTCCCCCAGGCGAAAACTATCTAAATAAGGGTTGCTTGCTTTGAAACTTATACCAAAGCAAGATCTTGGTGAGTCCTGATCTCAGGCGAAAATTCGAGTCCTGCTCCCTTACAGAGGCTGAGATATCAGGTCAGCACCAATGATTTTTTCTTATTGTGTTATCTCAAGATAAGAAAGAGATAGAATCTTGCTTAACCTATCATCGGAAAGCCCAGCTCTTAATCTCTTTTCAGTAAAATTTTCATTACAAACGGAGGTGCCTTCGTTAAGTTATGGCCTAT